TATTGCTGTTTCGGCTGCATGCCTTTGTCAAAACAAACATGAGCAATCCCCGCACTTGCACCGGCTTCGGCCGATGTAGGATTCCAGCGCCCCCTCAGGTCCCAGCGTCGGTTACGGGTCGGCAGCGCAAGCTGCATTCGAAGGGCAAGTGACCCTACCGGTAGGTGAACTGGTGCTCCTTGCTTCGCCGGCTCCCGTCACCGTTCGTATTCCGGCATGCCGCCATCCGACCAACGTTCATCTCCGTTTTATCGGGTCGCCCTGCCCCCTCGCCTTCGTCCCCGGGTTGATCGGATCCTGGTGGCTGAGTGACGCGTCGTGCGCGTCAGTCGCGGCGTACCCCAGGATTCTTTTGCGGCCAGAATATCCAGGTCGCGGGGTGTGACGTATCTCGGATTTGCCGCGCTCGCCCGGCCCTCGGCTGAGGCAGCCATCTGTGGCGTCATCTGCCGGTCCTCGGCTGGCGTCGTGTGACCCTCAGCTGCCCCCCCCCCTCTCCCCGCAGCCCCCACCCCTCACCTGAATTGCACGTCCGCTGCTGTTAGCATGATATATTTGTCCGGCCCGACCCCTCATTGGTTACCGGTAGGCTCTTCGTGCCGTTGCATCTTTGCGCTAGATGCGGTGGCCGCATATGTAAACTGATAGTGTTTCAATCGTGGAAGCATTCGCTGCAGGAAAAGCGAGCGAACAATGCTAAGAGACAGGAAGCACGAGTGATGACATGAATTGGATGGAGGAAAATTAGCGTAGAATTGTTTGGAGCAGTTTGACTACCAGCCTCAGCCATTGGTAAAATAGCAACTAATTTCCATTCTTATGGTTCGATGCCAGACACAATGGAGGCGTTTAAGCGTCATAAGTGGTGTCGATTGGCTGAAAACATGAGACATAACATGGGTAGATTGCTACTACCATCGTTACATGCCTTGGACGCACTCATGCTCCTGAGCACCCAGCTCAGTTCCGGGAGTTAAGCAGGCTCCACCGAGTTGACGCCGCTGCATACCGCGGGGTCACTTGTAGTACTTTCGTAAGTACACATGCATGAAGAATAGCGCATGTTTTTGTTGTTGATGGCGGCCAATCTTGAAATCCTTCGCAGTCTCGAAAACCTGGTGACCTACGAAATATACGTGAATTATACCATGTCTTGGGGCTCGAGGCCAAATAATACATACGTGTTTTCTCGTTTGCCGTTGCAAATGTGACTCCGTTTCAAAGAAGAAGGGGCTTATTTAAAACCAGTTACATGCGCAGAGCTATAAATATCTAGTAGCACCTGTGGCATGAATCGATTTGCATGGATGATCTTTATTCATCCATCGTTGAGAGACACGTACGTCAACAGATGACAAATAGCTGGATTATGAACACGTGGTCTGAGCCAATCAGCGTGCCCCAGCCGCATGCGAAGCCAGAGCTTTGTTCCTACCGGGTTTAAAAGGCGGCACGGGCGGCCATCTCGGCACACAGACACCTCTCACCAGCAGCCATGCGCTTCACTGCCCTGCTGGCTCTGCTGTTGGTCGCGTTCGCCGTCGCCTGCGCTGCGGCACCGTCGCCCGACGCAGACGCGGAGGCGGACGACGCCGTTGCTTTGCTGGAGCGCAGAGCTGTTCCTGTCCGTCTCGCTATCTGCACCGCAAAGTGCGTCATAAAATGTCGCAGCAAGTCTAGTTCGAGTGCCCGTCGCCGTTGTCGACGACGTTGTATTCTAAGATGCATTTTGACTCTGGGTGGTTAGGACCTGCTCTTCGGCCAGTTGTGCTACCTGAGCCGCCCGGGCATGAAGAACCTGCACCCAGGAGGAAGCAAACACGGAAATGATCCCATACGAAGACGCTGTTGCTGAATGACCCCGATGAGCTGGACAGTTGGAGTATCCTGCTTTGGAATAATTACAATTTGAGTTCTTTTCGGCATGGTGGCTGCGTGTGTCCTCTCGTCCATATCTGACCAAATACATTATTTTGCGATTGATCACTTCTTTCAAAGCTTTTGCTGGGCTGAAATACGTTTAATTAATATAACGGAAAAGACCTTCAGCGTCACGGTTGTTACGCTGAGTTATCGACCTGCATTGTGTCAGGAGGTACTGGATAAGTGACGTCATAGTGCGAGCGTCACTTACTTTGACAGCACACCATGTTTCATGGTGGGCTTACGCGCTAGTGACAAGCAAGGTCTTAGACACGCCAGGAAAGGCCGAGCCGAGGCTACATCACACACTCTATGGGACGACTATGTCCTGTTTTTTAGATCAACATGTAACTGGCTAGACCACGATAAATTGAATTGTTTTGAGGGAAGTGTTGAATGCAGTCATTTGTTGATATATGATGAGAATCAGCATCTCAAATCGCAGTCAACCCTACCTGGAACGCTGCCATTGGGCACGTTGGGCAGGATTGGGCGCGACATTGCTCGAGACGGAAATAGGGCTTGAAACCGGCGAATATTGGAATACGATCAAACGGGTTCATGGGAAATGAAGCTGTTTCTGATGCCCAAGTGCAGGTGGCTTGTCAAAGGAAGCATATAAGGCAACTATCCCCAACAACCTCACTTGTACCAACCTCATCTAAACCGATTCCGAAATCCACGGTACTTGAGTTTAGAAGGATTTTGGGTGAGAACAACACAAAGGCCTCTGGTCGCAGGCCAGCCAACCTGTTGGTTTCTTGTTTGATCCTCCGGTTGATAAAAATATGGTGCAAAATTATCGCCATGTGCCCAAATTAGCACACCCATCTTGCAAATATGCCCCACCCCACCCGCTTCCTCGCTGGGACGGTCGAAGGAGACCGTGCTCCGACCTTGCTCCCCTCTCCCTCGCTGGTGACCGCTGCCGGTGGCAGGGGACAGTGGATGGAGGGTAGTTGGGCGTGACCGGGCTTCACGCTGACGTCCGGGCGCCGTCGGTCGACCCCTTGTTACCGGGCGCGCTTGGCGAGCCCGGCGCGACAAGGCAGCCAACCGGGTTTCTGGAGGAGACCTGGCGACCGTGCTAGCGGGGAGGCCCCCCACTGCCCCGAAGGCGTGTGGCAGCTCTCCCAGGCCGCTCAGGCCTGTGGAAAGGTCCGTCTAGTGTTCGTCCGCCGCCGCCGCTACCGAGGACCACGTCCTCGCCGGCGCCCTACGCGCTTAGAATGGGACGCCCGGAAAAGCTTAGCCCGCCGAGGCGTATGTTGCCATGAAATGGTGGTAGGCCCCGGATTGACTCAGGGACCCACCCGGTTTTATTAGGAGCCGATCCTAAAGGCATGACCGACATCCATGCCGGCCTCTGGCGATGCTGAGTTGTTTTTTTTTAAAGCCTCGCGGTATTTTAAAGCCTTCCCCCCCGCCCCCCCCCCCCCCCATTCAGTCAGCCTCTTTACAGTGGAACTGTAGAGGCGTGAGGTTAAGCATCCAGGACTCGCAGACAGTTTTAAGTGTGCACTGCCCCGGTAGCCTTGTGTCGCTAGGAGACAAAGCTGGCGCCTGGTACGACCTCCAGCCTGCAAGGGTGCGTTACCTTCCGGACTGACATGTCAACAGACACCGTTTCTCGCGGCGGCGTCCTGCTAGCTCTGCACCAGTGTGTCCACACAGCAACTAGTGTTAAGAACAGACTTGCCAGCCGTTGCAGCAATGGCGAAATGAAACCATCGCGCCATAGCTGTCTGCCCTGTCTACTTACGACCTGCGGCTCCGTTTCTATTTGCAGGACTTGGTTGCGTAATCTCCCAACTCCCTTCCCCTGTGCTGATTTTAGGCAATTTTGATGCACATCACGCTGTGCGTGCGTGGGAAGGGCTTCCATGGACACTCGTGGTAAGTTATGTGACGTTGTTGTACGTGACTAAGGTTTATGTGTTTTAATCACAGGAACAGGGACGCATTTTACACTGCCATCAGAACGATCGTCAGCGTTAGACCTAAGCATCTGCAGTCCGCAGTTTATAATACACTTCCCTTGGGATGCGTCAGTAGGCCCCTCGCGGGTGACCATGTTCCGGTCTAGATCCATTACCGTGATGGTGCTGTTCTTCCGGTGGAACTCAAAGAAGGCGGACTGGAGCGGATTTGGGACCCGCCTGGATGAATTATTTTCTCGCGATGTCGACCCTGTGAGCCTGACTGCGGAAGATTTTACGCCTTTTGTTTTGAGCGCGGCGAAAGGATGCACTCCGCGTACCTATGGTTCCTTCGTCGCACCTCTGTACCTTAGTTGAACGACGGTTACTGCGACGCTTTTCGCGCGCGTCCGAGAGATTTTAGGACTTTACCAGTACGGCAATGAACTAAACCTCGTGGTCTTCAGGCGAGTCGGCGAGGCTGCGCGCCGCACTGTGCGAGGGGCGAAATGTACGTGATGACGCAGCTACGTCAGCTCACTGAATTTTCAATGCCGAGGTCGCACGTCGGGGTCCGTATTAAAAGAATCGTCGCGTTGTACCCATTATTTTCATTTCCCGTACCGCTAGCATTTAATGAGGACATCACGCGCCATAGCGATGTCTTGCAGACCATTGGGGTCCCTGTGCGGTCAGAGAGCCACGATGAGTGTCGCTAGGGACCGTCTTTCTTCATGGAGGATGTTGGTAATGGATGTCTGCTTGTGTACAATGTTTACCTTGTCAAACCGGTGCCGAAATGACACTTTCGACCCACGGCTGCTTTGCGATGCAGGGAACGATGTGAACCTTTGGAAGTCATCTTTTTATACAGGTGACATACTGACGTACAAGTATTTTATCGTGACGGAACTTCAAGCGGCCATTCGCCCACTGCGTAGTGTTGCGGAAGGACCCGACTTCCTCCACAGTAACATGCTACGGCAGTTTCCTTCCCGTGCACTGCGAGCGCTGCTGGCACTTTTCAGCTGGTTATGGGAGACGAGAATGGGTGATTATCCTGTTGCGGGAGTCAGGAACAGTGCGTGGATGGTGTGGGTCCAATGGTGGCCAGATGACCGTTTCATTTGCTACAGCGTGTCCGTCTTTGTTTCGCAGGGCGTACGTGCCAACCCAGTCCAATGTGATAGAGTACGGCGAGAGCGACGCGGACGTGGGTGAGCGCGAGTGGTACTTCAAAGCGGCCGACGCCGACAAACAGGACCGACAGGGACCGTACAGCTTCAAGGAGGTCAGTAGGGATACAGGGGTCAAGGGGGTCAGTAGGGACACAGGAGTCAAGGAGGTCAGTAGGGACACAGGGGTCAGGGAGGTCAGTAGGACACAGGGGTCAAGGAGGTCAGTAGGGACACAGGGGCCAAGGAGGTCAGTAGGGACACAGGGGTCAGGGATGTCAGTGGTCAGAGTGCCGGGTCGAGGGCCGGTAGGGACACCGCATCTCCGGGAGCAAGGAGTCATGGTGCTCCATCTGCGGTCAAAGAGCTACGATGGGCATCGCCAGGGACCGTCTATCTTCATGGATGCTGTTGGTTATTGATGTCCGCTTGTGTACAATGTTTACCGGGGGGACCAGGGTGCTAACGTCTTTCTCACCGTGACTGGGCGGGCCGGCGGGGGCGGCCACCGCCATGGCCGGAGGCCCTTCCCCGGCGCCGTCCACAGCCGGTGCCGCCGCTGCACGTGCTCACCGCCGGCGCCGCCGGGGCCGCTCCCAGTCTGACGCCAGTCCCGCCGTGCCGCAGATGCGCGCTTTCTGGGAGGACGGCACGCTGACGGCCCGCTCGCGCTGCTGGGCGCAGGGCATGGACGGCTGGCGCAGCTTGCAGGCTGTGCCGCAGCTGCGCTGGACGCTCTGCGCCACCGGCCAGGCGGTGCTCAACGAGACGGACATGGCCGTCACCATCCTCAACATCTTCATCACCATGTGCCACTACTACCCCAGTCGGTACGGCGGCGCCCACTGCTCGCGCCGCTGCCCGGGTGCTGTGTTGGTTGGGGCCGGGGGTGTGCCAGTGTGCTGTGAATGGGAGGGGGAGGGGGCGGCCAAAGCGACGGCAACCGCGGCTTGTCTGCACAACGCGCAGGCGCGGGCGCCGACATGACGCATTTCCAGCGTTGACGGGCGTTGATGGGGCGGCGCGTGCGGCCGGCGGCCGCAGGCTGGCGTCCGCCCGCGGTCCGCAAGCCGGCCGAGCGGCGCAGTGGAGGTCCGCGCGTCAGATGACGCCCACCCGGCCGCCGCCAGGGACGCGCGCGGCTCTGTGATCCGACCGCTGCCGCGCGTGAAGCGGCTGCTGAGCGACCCCGGCTGCCTGCCGCACATCGTGCAGCTGCTGCTCACGTTCGACCCCATCCTGGTGGAGAAGGTGGCCACGCTGCTCACCGACGTCGTCCGGGTACGCTCCGGCTGGGACGCCGGCGAGTGCGGCAGCCACGCGGTGACGGCCACAGTCACGGGCCGGTGCAGTCAGTCGGTCTCTCAGTGTACAGTCGCGGCGTGTGTGTACGCGGAGGATGCGGCATATTACTGCGTGTATCACAAGGTAAATAATGCACTTATGTGGAGAAGTTCATGCTTGCCTGACCGAGAAATTGAAGTTGAATGAAATCTTTCGTTGTTGGCAACATTCTGGGGGAGGTGATTGCTGGGCTGCTTTTATTCGTCCGTTCATCGGGCTTTCCATCAAGGCTTTCGCCTTGCCTCCAGGACAACCCGGTGCTGTCGAAAATGTACCTGACGGGTGTCTACTTCTTCATCCTGATGTACACGGGCTCGAACGTGCTGCCGATCGCCAAGTTCCTGCAGCTGACGCACATCAGCCAGGCGTTCCGGTCCGAGGAGGTGAGCGGGCGCTGTACCTGACGTCACGCGCGCTGACGTCACTCGGCACGTCGACGCCCCGCTGCTGTTGGGAGGCCGCGACGCGCCCTCGATGGCGGAGTGGGGAGGTCCACACGCTGGTGATGTCTCTGGCTGTGCCTGGGGGAGGGGGAAGGGGCGATCGCTGCCTGAGCAGGCGGGACAGGCGAGGGGGAGGGTGCGAGCGGGGACAACGGGATGCAGTTCCCCGCGCGTGTGTCTGCGCTCCGCCCCCTGACCGGCCGCCCCCCGCGCGTGTGTCTGCGCTCCGCCCACTGACCGGCGGCCCCCCGCGCGTGTGCGCCCAGAGCGGTAGTGACCTGATGCAACGCAGCGTGCTGGGCCAGCTGGTGCCCGAGGCGATGGTGTGCTACCTGCACAACTACGGCGCAGAGAAGTTCGCCCACATCTACCTGGGCGAGTTCGACACGCCGGAAGTGATCTGGAATAACGAGATGAGGTGAGCGGGCGCGCCGGACGCGCGCTGGCCGTGCGGGCAGGCGGGCGGCGCGGGAGCGGCCTAGTCCTGGGTTGTGCTGTCACGACGTTGGTCGAGTTCGCTTCGGCGGCGGTAATCGGGCTTCCGTCTAGAAGCGGATGCGTGCAAGCGCCAGCGTTCGCTTCGTAGCGCGGTCCGACATGTTTTGTGTGGAAGTCGCTGCGGGTCAGCTGGAAGCCGGGCCGGTGTCGAAGGCGCGGCGCCCCGTCCCGCCCGCTGCTGACGGAGCCGGGCCGGCGTCAGAGGCGCGGCGCCCCGTCCCGCCCGCTCCTGACGGGGCCGGGCCGGCGTCGGAGGCGCGGCGCCCCGTCCCGCCCGCTGCTGACGGAGCCGGGCCGGCGTCGGAGGCGCGGCGCCCCGTCCCGCCCGCTGCTGACGGGGCCGGGCCGGCGTCGGAGGCGCGGCGCCCCGTCCCGCCCGCTCCTGACGGGGCCGGGCCGGCGTCGGAGGCGCGGCGCCCCGTCCCGCCCGCTGCTGACGGAGCCGGGCCGGCGTCGGAGGCGCGGCGCCCCGTCCTCCCCGCTGCTGACTGATCCGGGCCGGCGTCGGAGGCGCGGCGCCCCGTCGTCCCCTCCCGTCCTGCTGACCGCGTGTCCTCGCCGCTGACCCAGGAAGATGATGATCGGCCGGATCGCCGCGCACCTGGCCGACTTCTCGCCGCGGCTGCGCTCCAACACGCGCGCCATCTACCAGTACTGCCCGATGCCGCACGTGACGTACCCGCAGCTGGAGCGCGAGCTCTTCTGCAGCATCTTCTACCTGCGCCACCTGTGCGACACGGCCAAGTTCCCCGACTGGCCCATCAAGGATCCGGTGAGGCGGCCCGACCCGCGCGCGCCTGACTTGGCGGGAGCAGCGGTGCCTCGGTGGTGGTGGACCGTCGTAGTTCATTGTTCACGGAATCACTGAGTCGCTGAGTCAGTGAATGTTATGAATGTCTGTTGATGTCGTATGAACAAAGTGGCATGACCTGCTATCCATGCGTGCTAGCAGAACAGTCACACACACACGCACACATACACATGCATACACAATCACTCAGATTCGTATCCGGTGTGTGCGTCACCCCCACCCTCTCCGCCTGTCTGACGGGCGCTCTGTCGCCCGCCAGGTGGCGCTGCTCAAGGACGTGCTGCTCGCCTGGAAGCGCGAAGTGGAGAAGAAGCCCCCCAGCATGTCGGTGGACGAGGCGCTGGCCGTGCTGGGCCTGGAGCCAGGCCGCGCGCACGAGCAGAACAACGTGCGCAAGGCCTACTTCCGGCTGGCGCAGAAGTACCACCCGGACAAGAACCCCGACGGCAGGGTAGGTGGGGGAGACACCGTATGATGCACACCACCCGGGGAGACGCTGACGGCGGGGTGGATGGGAAGGAAGCGGCACCGAGGTGCCGCCTGGACGGCAGAGCAAGTGCTGAGTGAAGGGACCGGCGCAAAGTGTGTAAACGAATGAACGGATGAACGCTCGAAGATTAACGTGGGGGGGGGGGGGGGAGGGGGGCATGGGGCGTGACGCACCGCTGGCTTATGTGTGGATTGATGCAGGCAAATAGAGAGCGTGACCAGAGAACGTCTCTCGCTTGACGCAGCTTCTGAACTTCGAACTTGTCCACCACACAGCCGCAGGCAGGTGGCGGGGCCTGGTGACCTGCCGCCGTCTCCCCGTGCTGCCCTTCTGCGGGGTGTGTCGCGGCCGCCGGTCGGCGCCGGTCGGCCGGCCGGTCAGCGGTGGTTCTCAGCGCGCCTCGGCCGCCCCCAGGACAAGTTCGAGGACGTGAACCGGGCGTACGAGTTCCTCTGCAGCCGGTCGGCGCGCACCGTGGACGGGCCCGACCCGCACAACATCGTGCTCATCCTGCGCGCGCAGAGCATCCTCTTCTCGCGCTACGGAGACGGTGGGTGGCCGGCCGCCGGCCAGCCCACCGCTAACGTGTCCGTTTTGCGTTTTGCCAACATCGTCCACGGTGTTAGCCGTGTTAGCCGTGCTCGTTGAAGTTCACCCATACGCTTGTGGTTACCTCATTGCATTTCGCAGTCATGCTAATGTGCGCTGATGTCTGTGCAGATGCTAAGGATGGGTATACTGTTGTTCGAACATTTGCCGTATCATTCGGCTCGGTGGGACGTTACGTGTGCTGACTTCTGCAGAGCTCCGGCCGTATAAGTACGCCGGCTACCCGATGCTGGTGACCACCATCCGCATGGAGACGGAGGACGACCAGCTGTTCAGCAAGTCTGCGCCTCTGCTGGCCGCCGCCACCGAGGTGGCCTACTACACGGTCCGCTGTTCGGCACTCAACGCCGAGGAGCTGCGGCGGGAGCGAGGGCTCGAGGTACGGCGAGGCCTGGTCCGGCGGCACGGCGGCCGGCCCGAGTAGGGGCCGCTCCGATCGCCGTCTGGCGGCATCGCTTCAGCACGCACGCCACCAGTGGAGGCCGGGCCAGCCGCTGTGTGGTGTTACATGCCTTCCTCTGTGCACAGCCGATAACATCGGCCTACACCCGGCGCTGTTCGGTGCTGTGTGATTTGACCTACCCTCGCCCGTCCGCAGCTGCTGCAGTCGGCCTACAGCCGGTGCTGTGTGGTCTGACCTGCCCTCGCCCGTCCGCAGTTGCTGCAGTCGGCCTACAGCCGGTGCTGTTCGGCGCCGTGTGGTCTGACCTGCCCTCGCCCGTCCGCAGCTGCTGCAGTCGGCCTACAGCCGGTGCTGCTCAGTGCTGTCCAAGTCGTCGCGACCGGATGACGTGGCCGTGCAGGTGTGCTCGCACGTGTCTCGCTGCTACACGGTGGCCGCCCAGTTCCAGCAGTGCCGCGACAAGCTGATCGAGATGCCACAGATCATCCAGGACCTCTGCCGCATACTCTACTACAAGGTAGGACTCGTGTGCGACCCAGCGCGTTACACGAGGTTTGCAGCTGGGTGGGCGGTGGGGTCGCGGCGGTTCGGATTCGCTTGCTTGTTACCTAATGGCAATAGGCCATTCAACCGGCAGAGTGGGCCGTGAGGGTGAAGGTCATCAGCATTGTATTAGTTGATTCCGCGTGACTTGGAGCCCTTTTGCGGCCTGACCTGAGCTGACCTGACAGCGGCTGACCCGGCACTGCGCGATCTCCGCCGAGTGTACCAACTGACCTGAACTGACCTGGCAGCGGCTGACCCGGCTCTGCGTGATCGGCGTGGAGTGCGTGTCGGCGTTTGCGGCCGACTCGATCCTGCAGCTGCACATGATGCAGGCCGGCGTGCTGTGGCACCTGCTGCTCTTCCTCTTCTACTACGACTTCACGCTGGACGAGGGCGGCGTCGAGAAGACTGAGAGCACCAACCAGCAGGTCAGGGGCGGGGCGGGCGCAAGGACCCGGCGGGGACGACCGGGAACGGTGGAGACGCGGTGCTGGACAGTGTCAAAGCGTCGTGTCAGGCTTGTGGCTGTGTCACTGTCTCTCACAAGAAGCGCGGTGCTGAACGGCGTACGGTCCTCATTGCCACGCGTATGTACACCGAGTCTGATCGTCTTGTGGTGTTTGCTGACTGTTTTGTGCGTCATGGTTCTGACTGGCATTGTGTGCGAATGGTGTGCATACACGTGTGTACGTGTGCGTCCGTGCGCGCGTGCGTGGGTGGCTGTCGGAAGTGACCGCCGTTTACGTGGTGTCGAGTTTGACAGCTGTGTAGGGCTGGGTCTGACCATGTCATGTCGCTGTGCGTGCGTGCGTGCGTGCGTGCGTGCGTGGGCATGACTGCCCTGTAGCGGCCGCGGCCGTCAGCCGCCGGCGGCCGATCTGACGCCGCGGATCGGCCGGCAGGAGGCGGCCAACACGCTGGCCAAGAAGTCGCTGCTGGCGCTGGCGCGGCTCTCCGGCTACCTGACGGGCGACGACGAAACGCCACCCAACCGCGCCATCGACGCCGCGCTCCAGGCCATGCTCACGCCCCACGTGGTGCACCTGCTGCGCCAGTACAAAATGAACGAGGTGAGGCTCGCCGGCCTCCCCACGCTGTCGGGCACCGCTGTCGCCCGGAGGCAGGGTGGCATGTGTTCCGTTGTTCCACAGCACAACAGGCGTGTTTGAGGCAAGTTTGGTGCCACAATTCGAAGAGATTGGGGTTGAAACTGACGTAGCGTTGTGGGGTGCCTGATGCCACAGATGAAAGTGCGTCGGTGGGGATTATCTGAGTGATATTTCAAGCAGGTCTGGAGGAAACCCGTAAATGACGTGCCAGTTCTAAACATCGGGTAGTCTGTCCGGTGGGGTCACATTAGTGCCATGACGGGTCCCAGCTATGTGACTCCACTCCTGCTGTCCGACACTGTTGTGACTCCCCTCCCTCTCCCTGACACTGCTGTGCCGCTCCCCCTCCCTACCCGACACCGCTGTGGCCGCTCCTGCAGCCCGACGGTGCTGCAAGTCCACGCGGTCTGGCCGGAGCCGGCACACGCTCGAATGTCGTGTGTCGCCAGGTGCTGAAGCTGCTCAACAGCAACACAGAGAATCCGTACATCATCTGGGACAACAGCACTCGGTCGGAGCTGCGCGAGTTCCTGAAGGAGCAGCAGACGAGCAAGATCCGCACCGGGGAGAGCGACCCCAACTTCGGCGCCGAGTTCTGCTTCTCCGCCCACAAGGACGAGCTGGTGGTCGGCAACGTCTTCGTCCGCATCTACAACCAGCAGCCGTCCTTCGCGCTGGAGGTGCGGTCGGTGGTGCAAAGTCGTGGGCTAGCTGCTGGCTATCTGTTGTCGGTGACGGCTCGTAGGCGGCGCAGACTTCACTGTTGTGATGATGCGTGCTTGCAGGCCAGATACGGGTGTGGATGCGGCTTTGTATGGCTTTGGTGTGCCCCGCCGCCTTCTTCCTCCACGCTCGTCTGGGCACTGACTATGGCAGTCAAAGCGCAAAACCGAGAAAACGAATAAGGGGAAGCTGTGCATGTAGCGCCGCTAGTCTGTGGCTCTTAGCGAATTTCATTAGGCGTCATCGTGGCATCGTACACCAATTCCCGTGATGTAATAGATGTGTTACTACCAAAATGTGCACCGCCTGGACAGTCCTTGGCCGCAATCCAGCGCGGGCCTTCGAGATGGGTTGGTGCGGAAACCTGTTCAGCGTCCACCCCCACCTCTCCCGGCCGAGGGAAGCCCCCAGCGCCGGCAGAAAGCTGGGGCGAGTGGCATCCCCGATGCGGGCTCTAACTGCCGACCGGCATCCGCGCGCCGCAGAACCCCAAGGGTCTGGCGATCGACCTGCTGGACTTCATCGGCTCGCTGACGCAGTACCTGCACAGTCTGCAGTCGCTGGCGGCGGCGCCGGCCGACGCCAGCGACGCCGGCGGCAGCAAAGTGAAACACGCCGAGATGGCGCTCGAGGCGCTCGCCAACGTCATTCAGAACAACCCCGGTACGTCAATGGGAAGCGGAGGCTGGGTGGGAATGTGCTGGTGTTGTGTGGGGTTGTGCGTGTGTCTCGGATAGGGTGTATTTGAGCTGTATGGGGTGGATATGCTGTTTAGGGTGTGTGTCACATGGGGTGCATGCTGTACAGAGGGGCTGTATGATGATATGGGGTGTGTGCGACCTGTTGTTCTTGGCTTTTCCTCCATATAGTGTACGCTGGTGGAGTGTGCCGAGCGCCGAAAGTCCTTTCATCACGTGTTTTTACGCCTACATATCATATGTGTCACAATCACAATGCATCACAATGTTGCGTTATGGCATACACTATGATGGTCATTCACTCACAGACTCGGAGACATCTTTAAGTCGTTCAGACACTTGTCAGTTCATCAGTTTGTGGTGTTGACAAAGACATTATTGAACAATCCAGCTCGGAAACCATAGGTCGGATTCATGCTAGATTCATTCACAGGGGGAATCATTTGCCACCGATATATTCGCTCATCGTTGCCGGTATTCTTGTGTACATTCAGTTGAGCACAGGAGTCTCACGCTATGCAGCAGAGCTGCTGCGGTGGTGTGCCACACCTCTCCGGGCGTGATGACTCCCTCTCAGTGTGACATGCCTTCGAGGTGCTCCCCTTCTGCCACTGACGCGGCGGTGACGCCTCTCCGGGGGTGTGGTGACTCCATCTCAGTGTGGCGTGCCTCCGAGGTGCTCCCCTTCTGTCACTGACGCGGCGGCGACGCCCCTCCGGGGGTGTGGTGACTCCCTCTCAGTGTGACGTGCCTCTGAGGTGCTCCCCTTCGGCCACTGACGCGGCGGTGTGACACTTTCAGCCGAGCGTCGCGAGCTAGGTGAGCCGGGGTCGCATGCGGCACGTGTCCGTGACTCGCATGTCGCCGCCGGCGCCGTCCGGCTCAGGCGGCACGCCGCGAGCCAGCGGTGGCCGGTGCTCGTGTTCCGTACCGGGTCACCAGCCGCTGGCAGGGAACGGTGCGGTCACTTCGATAGGCGGCCGCGCTGCTGCGGCCAGCTCGAACGTGTCTTCGTAGGCGGGCGTGCTGTCTTGGATATGGTTGGGATTCGCCGGTAGCTATTGAATGCTTCTGTTTCTGGCGCATGTGGCATGTAGCCGTGTAGCGCATCGCCTTTCCCATCCCCACCCAGATTCGATAAAACGCTGGAATCGATAGGCAGCAGCATGTCTCATGTGCATGGCTGGTCGTACCGGCGGATGTGGAGGCTCGCTTCGCGCTGCTCGCCCGGCCGCCGCCGACCAGCCGGCCGTCGCACAGCGCCCCGCCGCGGCATGGGCATGGCATGCCGGTTCAGCGGCGCTCCCCCGGCCCCGCGCCGGCGCGCTGCTCGCGGTGACGCCACCGCCGGTGACGGCCAGGGGCCGCCCGGCGCGTGTCGGCCAGCGGCGGCGGCACCAGTCGACGTCCGGCCGCCGGGCGTGCCGCTCGAGCCGGCCGCTCTCGCCGGCTCGGCGGGACGCGGCGCGCGGCTGGCGTCTCTGACTGGCGCTGCGTTACAGGCGTGGAGTTCCAGTGCATCGGCCACTTCGGCCTGCTGTTCGGCCTGCTCCGGCTGGAGGGCATGACCGGCGTCCAGCAGCGGACGCTGAACGTCATCACGTGCGTCACGGGCAACCAGGTACGGGACCTCACCGGCAGCCGACGGCAGACCTGGGCTGGGTGGGTGTGGATTGACTAAGCTGCTCGTCTCGGAAGCCAAAGGTCCGGGGTTCGATTCCTGCGTTGCCCGCCCATCCTGCTAGGGTGAAAGGCAGGCGACCCCAGGTAGCCTCAGCAGCCGAGTGTGTCGTAAAGCCCCAATGATATTTTGTGGCAGGAACAACCTCAGGCTGGTGGCAACGTGCCTGGTAGGCGATGCTGCATCGTGAGCTGATGTTTCGCGAGTCGGGTAGGCTTTTACGCGCTGTATGGCATGATCTTTGATTCTCGCTTGGTATCACCGGAGGACACCACGCCCACCCTGCCTGAGGGCCTGCTCAGGTCTGCAAAAGAGCCATACGTGAATGTTTTCTCGTGTGCTGGCGGCGTGTGACTTGTGAAGCCCTGACGGATGGGCGCTGTATGACCGTGCAGTCGATGTGCCCTAAAGGCCAAATAACCAACCAACTGTGACATCTGCCCTAACTTGTGACCTCATCGTCGTCCTGTGACCCAATAGTTGATCTGTGACCCCGTCGTTGCCCTGTGACATCCTGCCCTGACCCCTGACCTCGCCACACCGTGCGTCGCCGTGCCGCGGCCGCTGACCTAAGACGCCGCCGTTGCCACGGCAGGAGTGCGTCAGCGACATCGCCGCCTCGGAGGTGGTGACGTCGCTGCTGCTGCTGCTGCACACGCTGCCGGCGGCGCTGCCGCAGACGCTCGACACCCTGCACGCGCTCATGTCCAACACCAAGATCGTCAAGGAGGGCATGAACCGCGGTGAGGCGCCAGAGCGGCTGCCGCGGCTCTGGCCAGGGCCATGCCGGACGGGGAGCAGTCGGCACGGCGTCTGCGCTGTTGGCTCTGACTCGGCGTGTGTGCAGCTCTGTGGCAGACTGGCGTCCATGCCGTAAATAAGGGGCCTCAGTCGGGACCGGCTGATGGGATTTGCTCGTTTGTGTGGACTGGTGTGCGGCCGTGTTCTCGGGACTTCGGCTTTTTGACATATTGTGGCGATACAAACGGCAATCGGGCATTGCACGTTATCGTACAGAACCCAAACCATGGCGTCTCCCTGGCTGTGGACAGAGGCCATCAGAGGGCTGCAGGGGTTGCTCGGAGCCGTGCCTTGAAAACAATCTCATAGCGACGTAGCGGCGTCTTTGCCCTGGCGGAGCGTGTTCTGTCGGTCTGTTGATTTTCCTCGTCTCGTACAGTGAATACGAACTAACAGGTCGGTGTTCCGAACCGCTCAAGCTTGGTGATGGGCCATTGTCAGGTGCCGTGATATACCTTCTGGACCTGTTCTGCAACGCCACCCATCCGGATGTTCGAAACAAGACCGCCGAACTGCTGGCGAAGATGCTCTCCGACAAACTGGTCGGGCCCAAGGTGAGACAGGAGGCGGACGTTCCAGCTGGTTGTCATGGTCGTGATCGCCAGTAGCAAACCCAGGATGTCACGTCGTCACGTGACATCTGGTGCTGTGATTCGAGACTGTCATCTCCACTCCTTCCATTAGCGAAGCACTCGGGTAGTTCTGCACCAGACAAAAACAAGTTGTTCGGCTCTCGTCGCAACCTTCCGCAGCTCAGCCGAAGAACGGCGTATGGTTTTGGTCCCACTTCAGCTCACCGGCCTCCTCTCGTTTGTCGTCCTTTGATCGCCTGACCCACCGTCCTCCGCGTGACGGGGCCGAGCCCGTCACAGCGGCTGGGGATCGTCCTGCCGCCGCCCCGTGGCTTGGCGGCGCGCCTCAGCCGGCGCCGCGCTGCCGCCAGGTGCGCCTCACGCTGCTGCGCTTCCTGCCGCCGCTCTACATGGACGCCATGCGTGACTCGCCCGAGAGCAGCGTGCACATGTTCGAGTCGGTCCAGGAGAACCCCGAGCTCATCTGGAACGACGAGGCGCGCGAGAAGATCTGCGACACCGTGCGCCGGCTCAAAGTGGCGTGAGTGAGCCGGCGGCCGGTCTGGCGCCCACGGAGAAGCCTGCGGACAAAGTTTCGTGACCTTGATGCATACCGGGTGACCATTGTGCAGTAATCCGCAGCGCGGTCGTACTCTCAGGGCAATGTCGTCGTCTATGTCTGCAGTCACGCACATGACAGCGTACCCCCTCGCCGTCAGGTTCTACCAGAAGCAGCGGTCAGACCCGAACGCGGCCTGGAAGCTGCCAGATGACTTCTCCGTGCAGTTCACGAATGTGCAGGTGAGCGGGCAGGTCGGCGGAGATGCACGGCTCGCCGTCAGCTGATCTGTAAATAACCGCCACGGAGCCGCTCCGCGATCGCGCGCCAGACCTCTGAAAGCGCCTCTGCGAAGCCTCAGTGCACTGATCGTGTTGTTGTGGCTGGTGACGGTGCGGAAGTCGCCTGGTGCGGACCTCCTGGCCTCCTCGCTCCCGTTGGCGGGGCGACCGGTCCCGTGCAGCTGGCGTTACGAGCTCGGCCGCGGTCGGGGGCGCCCCTGAGCTCGGCCGCAGTCGGCGGCGCTCCTGGCGGCGCTCCTGAGCCCGGCCGGCCGGCCTGAGCGCCCCCTCCGCCCTGCCGCAGGGCGAGGTGGTGGTGGGCGGCGTGTTCCTGCGGCTCTTCATCGCCAACCCCGGCTGGGTGCTGCGCCGGCCCAAGGAGTTCCTCACCGAGCTGCTGGACACGGGCCTGACGCTGATGCAGCAGGCGCCGCCGGACACCGATACGCTCGAGATGGTGGCCACGGCCACTGTCCAGCTGCTGCACGCCCAGCCCGCCCTGCTGGACGCCGTGCCGGCCCAGGTGCGTCTCGGTCGCCGTCCGCGCCGAGTACCGCGGTTTCAGGGGGCGGGGGTGTGTCGCCTCCTCCCCCCCCCCCCCTTACAGTGTTGGTGTGTGACGCCGGGGAGCGGGAGGCGCAGATGTGGGCCTCCCTTCCCCCTCCCCTCCCCCTTATCCGTGTATAACACTGGGAGGGCCAGGTGTGCGCCTGCCCTCCCCCCTCCCCCAGTGTCCGTGTGTAACACCGGAACGGCGGGAGGAGCGGTGATGTGCCGTCCGCAGCAGCGCCAGTGCCGGCCGGCGGCGGCGCCGTGCGGCCGTGCCGAGGCGCGGTGGCCTGACTGCCGGCGGTCCGCGGTCGCCGCTGACCAGCGCGGCCGGGCACCCCGCCATGACCCGACTTCTCTGCGGCGACAGGGCCACATCCCGCGCCTGTTCAAGGCCATGACGGCACGGAACGACGGTGTGCTGCGGGCCTGCCTGCTGATCGTCCACCAGCTGGCCGACAACGAGGTCAGTGGGAGCTGGGCATCGCTCGAAGCTCAGAACACGGGGGAGGTCAGGGAGTCGGGAGATATGACCCGATGAGGGACGCCGCACTGCGGAGGGATCAGCTGGGTGGTGGGAGGGCAGGATGTCATCAGATCCAGTAGGTAGCGATGACAGCTACGCTCAACATGGCGGCGGCGAATAGGTGTTAGAGGGAGGGCTTGGGCTACTATGCTCCGTTCCTGTGGTGAGAGTGCCTGATATGACCCGAGGTTCGTTATCTGTCGAGCACGCCGTGACACGAGCTCTGGCGTCACCAGCTACCCCTTGGCAATGTCCGTGACCAAGGCTGCATGGGCACCGCTCTCTGTCCGTCCGCCCGTGCCCATCCGTCTGTCTGTCTGTCTGTCCGTCTGTCTGTCCGTCTGCCCATGGCTGTCTGTCTGTCCGTCTGTCTGCCCGCCTGTCCGTCCGTCCGTCTGTGTCCATCTGTCCGTCTGCCCGTATCCTCCTCTGTCTGTCCGTCTGTCTGCCCGTCTGTCCGTCCGTCTGTCTGTGTCCATCTGTCCGTCTGCCCGTATCCTTCTCTGTCTGCCTGTCGGTCTGCCCGTGCCCGTCCGTCCGTCTGTCCTCTGCCCGGTCCCGGCCGGTACCGACGCCGCCGCGCCGCCCTCGGCAGGCGTGCTCCCGCAGCATCGGCCAGGCCGACTGCATCAGCCCGCTGGTGCACGCCATGAGGACGCGCCGCGACATGGTGGGCGTGGCCTGCGACACTCTGTACCGGCTGTTCTCGCGCGACCACGAGCCGCTCGTGCAGCAGGCGCTCGACGCCCGGCTGGTGCAGTACCTGCTCACGCTGCTAGATGGCAGGTGCGTCGCTGCTGGCGGTGCCGGGTCATCCGGTGGAGTGTCGCATGCGCTTTGAATACGCGGAGACGTTCGGCGGCGTTGGTAAGTAAGCGATGCGGTGTGCAGTGGCTGATGTTTGTATTGCAGATGGTGGTTGTGTGTTGCTGCCCACCGCAGTCAGGTGGAATGTGGTGTGAATCGAAGATCATGCGGTTCAGAGACGACTTGGGTTGGACTGCGAACTCGGGCAAGCATAATGTCGCTTCTCCGCAGGCAGGGAATCGTGCCTGCTCCAAAGCTCCCAGCTGGCGTGCTCGGTCCAGAAGTGACGTGTACTCAGCCTGTCACGGGCCGTGGCTCTATGCCGTCAGACGGCTGACGCGTGCGTGGTTGGCCAGAGACGGGGCGGGCGAACGCTAACTCCGCCTGCTCTGTCCGGACCGCGTGGCTGACGCTGGCCGAGCGTGCCACAGGCTCGAGTCGGAGAACCCGGCGGCGGTGAAGGCGCAGATCGTGAAGGCGCTGAAGGCGATGACGCGCAGCCTGCAGCACGGCGAGCAGGTGTCGGCCATCCTGAACCGCTCCCAGGTGTGGCCCGAGTACCGCGACCAGAAGCACGACCTCTTCATCACCAGCACGCCGACGGCCGGCTACCTGACAGGTGGGTCGCTGATCGGGCTGCCGGCTACTCGCGCCGCCGCGGCCCCGGGCTGCTCGCGCTGCCGCGGGCTCCGGGCCGTTCGCGCCGTCGCGAACTCGGGGCTGCTCGCGCCGCCGCGGGCTCCGGGCCGTTCGTGCCACTGTGGACTCGGGGCTGCTCGCACCGCCGCGGGCTCCGGGCCGTTCGTGCCGCCGCGTGGTCTGGTGCCACAGTCGACAGACGCGTCTCGTGAAGACCCGTGGGGCCTCCGACGCCCTGTTCAGGCGCTTGCGGTTATTACGGTCGCTGCGGTCAGGGAATGGCGTCCACAACAGGGACTTAATGTCCTTGTTTACCAATCGAAGATTTTATCGGCAGATCGGGGCAAAAAGTCACATAAAACGACGCACCCCTGGGTGGGTACTTGAGTCGTGGTAGTCTTCCGGCCCCCGTCGCGAACGTGGCCCATATCTAATTTGGGTGCCGCCACTCCAGCGGGGCCCCCACGCGCCAATGTGCTCCCCATGCATTTTTAAAGGCCTGATCTCAGTGGATAATCTTGGAAGCTGCAGCTCGCCCTCGCCGCCACCCAGACTGGGTTGGTGTTTCGCCCGTGGCTCGCGCGGCATCGAGAGGGCCTCCGCTATGGACGGTTCTGCGGTCGTGAAAAAGTAATATGGTTTGCGCGCTGCGACTGAGTTTCGTGCGTGGATTTTCCTCCTGTGGAGTAAGGACACGCTCAAAATCGCAACCTTCAGTGGGGATAACGTGCGGCAAGTCGAATCGCTTTCTGTGTACAACTGACGCTGCACATAAGACGCCAGGTACCTAGACTCCTAATTGTTGTAAACGCGCCGCCGTGTGTCGCCTGCGATCACTGCGGCGGCTCCCCAGCGACCGCAGCGACCGCAGAACGGTGTCGTGCTCCGTAGCGTCGTGGCAGAGCTATGACGTCATGTACGATGTCAGGCAAATGCTGGGTGCTGATTGGTGTGGCCACAGTGACCGTAGGTGGTCATGACCAGTCCCAGCTCATCGTGGACGGACTTGCGGGCTGGTCGGCCGGCGTGGTGTTCCACTCGCTCGCCGGGGTAGGTGGAGGGCACACTCAGCACTGGCTTTAGGCCAGCTAGGTCCGCGGATATTTGCAGTGTTTACAGTCAGACCGCGATGTAACGTAAAGCGGCCACTGATTTGCCTGAGGGTAGTTGAAGCAATATTATAAAAGGACGTAGTCTATTCATGTAATAATAAAAGACTGGGTTCTTTCAGAGGAGAGGGCATCAGGAAAGGCCCTAATTAACCGGGGGCGTGGAACAGGAAAGGCTAGGACTTAATGGTTGCACTGGAACTAAACGATAGCAGCTCCGGATGTGCGTGTTTACGGGGACGAGACGTGATGTCAGACGCAGAAGTCAGCTGACGCTGGGGCTTATCAGCCCGAGTCGAGCAGACGGCGTCCGTTTCCCCAGAAATCGCCGAGACCCCGGCCATTAAACAGACATGGTGCCACTGGACGTGCGGGCTCATGTTTCGGTCATAGCTGTGTGCGGCGGCCGGCAGGTCGCGTGTCGTTCAGGGTCAGTTCGCTGGACTGGAAGACAAGGCGGGTTGGTGTGGAGGGCGTAACGGACGACCGTCCGACCGCGAGGCGCGGTAGCCAAAGCAGAGCCAGCTTGTTAAAGGCCGGGGCTCCCACTCTTCGGGCACATGCACTATTTTGTCTAATTCAATGCGGTGCACAAATTTTGATGGGGGTACGTAAGTTTCCGCGCGTTATAGTTATCAGTTTGTATGTCAGTGTTTAAATGGTCCGGTCTTCCAGTTTTATGCCAGTTTTTACCGTGATGCCGTTCTGAGTCATATCGTCTACCGCAACCGTATATTTCTCCGCGGCTGCCCCTCCCCCCCCGCCCCTCCCCCTCCCATTCCCTGTTCTGTGGACGCTGTACCCTGTGGTGAGGTGACCCCCGTCCAGCACGCGTGCCCTTACGGAGTGCGGCCCGTGGTGTCAGCCAACTGACCTCTCGCCGCCACCCAGGCGCGGCGCCCGGCGTGGCCGGCTACCTGACGTCCGGCAACGCCAAGCTGATGCCGGACGCGCCGCCCGACGTCGACCACGACGAGAGCCTCAACACCAGCGGTGGCCTGCTATAGCCGGCCGGCGTCCATGACAGCGGGCGGGGCGGCGGCCCCGGCCTGGCGGGACGGGGGCGTCGCGGACCGGCGCCGGTCGGCCGGCGCAGCGGGCGGAGCGGCGGCCCCGGCCCGGCTGAGTGGGGCCGGCGCCGCTTGGCCGACCCGCTCAGTGGTCCAGCTCGGACGCAGCGCCCACTCCGGAGCCCGCAGCTTTGTTACGTAGCACGCAGATGCATCATGATACTACAAGTGATATTTTATGTCCTTTATGGGTGCTGTTGTACGAGGTCGTCTGCATGGGTGGGTGGGTGGTCATCTGTAAGGCATACTCGGTTGCGGGTCCACGGCGGCGCTTGTGTCACGCCGCGTCGCCGCGGGCGACTGCCGGTGCTCCGAGCCCGCTTCTTCCGCGGCCGGCACGCCCATCGCGGCGGAGACGCTCCCGCTGCCCGCTGCGTCGCCGGCCGCTGCTCTTGTCGCGCTGTGATCGGCTGCGGCCGGGCCTCGGGCCCGTGACGTCACTGCGCCTGCCGCTCGCGGGCCACTCCTCCATTCCGGCGTGAAGGGCGGCGCGCGGGCTGCTTTGGCGAGGGTGATGTGATAGCCGGATATCAAAGGCCCCGTTGCGTAGGGGGTAGCGATGCGGTGCGTATTCCGTCAGTCTTATGAGTATTTATCTCCCCTGAGTATGTACGTGTATATTTTGTACAGGGAGCACAGAGTACGGCGCGAGGCCCGCATTGATATGACCCGCGTGATTGAAACATGCAGAGTGCGGCCGTGGTGAGAGACGCGCTCGCACAATAAAGTGGCCCATTGCTCCGTGTGTTGGTGCGAGCCGGCCCATGCCCTTCACGAATGTTTAGTGGGTGCGATGGTTTAAAATACTTAAAACGTTACGAAACTGCTGCGATGCTTGTTATGCTCTGCGTGGTTCCTCATGAGGGCTTTTGATCAGCTGCGAATAGCTTTCTCGCGTTGTCCGAATTTTTTGCGATATGAAACGAGCAGTAGCAGGTACTTTTGCAATCAGTATCCCATGGCACTTGTACTGCTTTGTAATAAAACGTCATGTACAAGTCAAGTGACGGCATATCGTGGCCTATGCGCTGTAGCGAGAGATGCGTGTTCATTGCCAAGCAGAAACCCAAGCGTTGGCATTGCTTTTTCTCTATAGGTCTTGTGCGTTTGTATGGGTTGTACGGAGGTTATTGTTGTTATTTTCCCCTGTAAGTATTTTGCTGTTGTAAGACTGGTACGAGGTTATGTAGTTGGGTTCAGGTGTTTAATGGCCGTTACATATGCGTGGAAAATTTGCGACTCGAGTCATGTGAAACGAGCAGAACATGGTAAGCACTGGAAGGAAGCCAACGCGAAAACCATGGCACAAAGCGTGGCGCTGTAAATCATAACAGAATGCCGAACGTATGGCGCGCACGCAGAAACGGAAGACGGGAGTGAGCGGAACGCTACTTGAGTTTCACCGGTCTCCGGGGACGGCGCAGTGCTTGCGGCGAGCGACCAGGTCGGGCTCGCTCAGTGCACCTCAGCCTGGAGCCTTCACAACCGGCGAGATGTCTTGACGCCGCGCCCCTGAGATGATCTCTGGGCAGGGTTTGCCCGCCTCCTGCGCTCGGTTGAGGCGCCGGGCGGTCGCCCTGGCCCACACCGAGGTACAATATAGCAATGAGGGGAGATTGAGACTAGATGGTGCGCGAGTGTGCGGGTCTCGTGCGCGAGGGCATTATTGGCCTCGTGCAGGCGAAAGCGACGTCGCCAGTTTTTACCAACTTATGCGTGCTATCTTCCAATCGGCTCTTCAGAGCAGGGCGCAGCTGCTTCGCCGAGGCATCTTGACGGACCGACGAGGGGTTAGTGTAACTGGCATTAAAGCGAGGCGTTGGTCAGGTTTCGCGGCGGTGTGGATGATGGATCAGGGTTTGCGGCGGAGTGGATGTTGGATCGGGGTTTGCGGCGGTGTGGATGTTGGATCAGGGTTTGCGGCGGAGTGGATGCTGGATCGGGGTTTGCGGCGGTGTGGATGTTGGGTCAGGGTTTGCGGCGGAGTGGATGTTGGATCGGGGTTTGCGGCGGAGTGGATGTTGGATCGGGGTTTGCGGCGGTGTGGATGTTGGATCAGGGTTTGCGGCGGAGTGGATGTTGGATCGGGGTTTGCGGCGGAGTGGATGTTGGATCGGGGTTTGCGGCGGAGTGGATGTTGGACCGGGGTTTGCGGCGGTGTGGATGTTGGATCGGGTTTGCGGCGACGCAGGTGTTTGATCGCGGTTTGCGGCGGAATGATGCTTATTAGGATTTGTGGTGGCGTGGAGTGCATCGATTGCGTGTGGTACACAGCGTTATTGTACCTGTGTTTGATAGAGAATTGAATTGGCAGGGTGTGGTCAGCGAGCGGACCTGAATCAAACGGACCCCGACGAGGTCATTATTCGGGTCGGCCGAAATTGGCCATGCTAATTTAGCCGGAATTTATTTCAGCGGAATGTTTGCAGGTGTCGTTGCCTATTTACTCCATGCGCTAGGGATTATAGTATCACTCCCAGAGCGGTCTAAACGTCTGCCGAAATGGAAAGACTCGTAAAACGCCTAAGCTCTTCCGGCAAGGATGGTCCGTCTCCGAGACATCCAGTATGACAGCGGAGGTTCAAGAATGTTCCACTGCGAAGCCCTGCCTCAGAGGTGTGATCCCTATCAAGCAGCAGATTTGCTGAAATTAGTAAACGAGACCGATAAAATGTAAACGTGAGTAATACGGGTTATGAAGTACCCATCCTGGCCGCGCGATCGAGGTCGGGGTATCGTACTCTCGCCAAGGGGTGGCGCGGCAGAAGGCAGTGGTTCCTCCTGCCGGAAGGTAAGGGCGCAAGATTAAGTATGTTTTTGCCAGCTCAAAGTTTTTGGGAGGTACCTGTTCCCCAAACCGAACGCACCGCAACTACCGGTAGTTTACCAAAATTCAGATCAAGGAGGCTATTTAAATGGGCTAGAGAGTAATAAGTCGGTTCCAGAAGACACTTTTGCACCAAGAGACAGGTTCTCTAGATCACGAGCCCATGCTCTAGATAATTATCTAGAGCATGGGCTCTCGTGATACCTACATGATGCCTTCTCATGGGCCTGCCCAAGAAGGCCCAATGTTACGTTCAGGAGACCCACTGCTGTTGCAGGGAGCCCCGTTACGAGCTAGGAAGTTCTTGATCAGGGCTAAGAGGCATCCTCTATATTTCAGGAGACCCCATATCTGGAACAGGAGATCGTTTTCAATTCAGAAGTCAGATGGCCCCGGTTCCGGACCAGGATGGCGTTTTGGATTAACGAGGCCGCTTGGCTTGATTTGGAAGTCCTTCATGAAACAGAAGCATCCTGTTCTGGGATAGGAGGCCGCTCTATGCATCAGCGGCCTTTTGCTGCAACTAGAGGCCCTGCTTTAAGATCGCGATATCCTTTGCTCTTGATAATGAGAAGCCCCGGATCCTAGATTTGCTATGCGATAACATTTATTTATTTGAATTGAATGTGACGGATGTAGCAATTTAGTAAGAGGGCACATATACTTGGTGCCCCTCACCTTTGAAAACGACGCTGCTCGGGAGGTTCCTGTGAGAAGGCCCATTTCCTGGAGGCCCCGCAAAATCGTGACCCCCCCCCCCCCCCACTCAAAATTCGTGGCGTCGCCCCTGCTCTCACCAGCGTGCCATCTGGTAATAAAAGTTCTTTAAATCCAAAAGCAATTGCCGTGATAAAATGCTTCCAACCAGACAAGATTAATGCGACAAATAATTTATATCTGAAACCATCGATAAGCGAAGCCCTTAAGCGTACGATATGCAGAACAAAGATAATGAAGAGAGGGATCCCCGCATGGTTCGCTACATAACGTATGTTCAGTGGACGGCAAAGGTCGACAAATGTGGTGTGAGTGGTGACCGAGGACGGTGGGCTATCGACGTGGAGCATATTGGTGACAGTCGTCCCATGTGGGATTTCTCATAGCTAAATTTTTGGTTTGATACGGTAAGTTCTGTTCGAACCAGAAACATACAATTTTCATATAGCGGGGAGACAGGTTAAGGCTGCAAGGTGCCTGATCATCGCGTCACATTTGGCTAAAAATTATGGGGATCACCATTGCATCGCGCTGTGCAAGGGACTTGCATCTAGCTACTTTTTATGTTTAAGAATGGTGATGTCTTATCATGTTGGTCAAGTAGTAGCCCATTGTAAGGCTTTTCCAGCATGTCTATTTAAAAGTTGTGCGTTATTGTTTTGTCTCATAGATTAAGTTGTCTGTCAATTAAGTTGTGTTGGGATTTGTTTTTAGGTATCCCAACTTGAAGGTAGGTGGTTGGTTACAATCTAATGAGTCTAGGTACCTTATTCAGCTGCCACTTGTTGCACATGGATGTAGCATCCAGACATCTTAATGTGATGCACCTTCTGCTATTGCCCCTCAATCTAGCAAGTAATCTGACATGGCATCTTATGTTTCGCCTTGCTAGGAATGTCAGACAATAAGACATTCTGCCGGAGGTTTGCCAGTCTTCACCATGGTTGTGGTCAACATGGTGTCATGTATGTGACACTTCATGTCATGCAAACATCTTACTAGACTGCCTGTCAGAGTTCTCACACATGGCTCATGCACATAAGTCACAGAAAATGCTTAAGTGTGGCAACACAGTTTGATATTTTAGAGGATGTGGGCTTTTATTTTACAGAATAGAGTTCAGCTGCTATTTCCTTATCAGGGGAGTGAAGCAAGCATATGATAGGCATAGGGCAGGAATAAGCATAGAGATCAGTTACATGGAATTATATGCATGTAAGACTTGGGTACCATAGTAATGGTAGCTGTCATGAAAGTAAAAATGGAACCATTGCCAGTGTCAGCCAGTTCCCCAACAATATGGTAATTAACTTGAATAACATTAAGCATGCTTTGAGTTTATATACATGTATACAAGGCCAGTGAAACCTTTTTATCAAGTAACATTCAGAATGCATCAGCAGGAGAAAGATGCCT